CAGGACCACGACGTGCCCGAGGACAAGATCTTCCTGCTGTCGCTGCTCATGGCGGAGATGGGTGTTCACTCGGTGGCTTACGCGTTCCCACGCGTGAGAATCATCACCACGGCCGTGGACAAGCGGGTCAATGACCTGTTCCGCATCATCCCCGGCATCGGTGAGGCTGCCTAGGCCAGTCGGCGGGGCTTGGGAGCCACAGGGCCCGAGTCCCCACCGTAAGGATCTGCTTCTTTCTCTAGGGAACTTCGGTGACCGCTACTTTGGGACTGACGCCGTCCCCGAAGGCAGCGACGAGGAGGAGGCGGCCTCCATGGGTTAGCTAGCCGCCAGTCTCTTCCATCTGCGGCCCCACCCAACCTCCTGCCTCCTGGCCCTGCTTGCAGAGTACAGACATGAACTTATTCCAGTTTAAAATGCTACCAGGATAACTTACTCTCTACCTTTTTTTTTTAAATAAATCTTTATTGTTCAGATTATTACAGTTGTTCCCCTTTATTCCCCCCATGGCTCCCCTCCACCCAGTTCCCACCCCACCCTCTGCCCTTACCCTCCCACTGTCCTCATCCATAGGTGTAGGCTTTTTGTCGCCGGGTCAAAGGTCATACACATGGAAAATGTAGCTATTTCCATCCGTAACGTGTCCCTGTGCTCGGAAAGGTCTCTCACGACTTGTTCACACTCTACTCAGAAAGGGTGCGGAGCCACGTAACAGCTTTTTAAAATAATGTGTCCTCTTATGTTTAAAATGAGGATTTCGCTACCAAAAGTGAGGAGAAAGCAACACTACAGCTGCTCTCACCCCTCTCGCCCGTCTCGCCCTTCAGGTGATAGTTGTGCGTGGGGCTGCGAGCTGGTTCGCGGGGCTGTCGACAAAGCCATCTGGGCGGGCGGCTCGTGCGGTTCCGCCGGCTTCCCAGGGGCCCTCGCAGCCTCACAGGGGGCGCTGCATCTCACGTTGGGGGTGAAGGTGCGAGACAGAAGCTCCTCTCGCTCTCTCTCCTGCTGCTCCCTTGCGTATCGCCGATGCTGTAAGTTTCTGAGAGCAGTCTGCAGGTGCTGGACATCATACTTTAACTGGTCAACACGAAGTTCGGCATTCTGTCTTTTGTTGGGCGGCTCCTTGTAGGACAAAATCTCCAGGTGTTCTAGCTGGCTGAATATCTGGTATGCTTGCTTGGATTTCATTTTCTACTAAGTGCACAGACTGCTTGTCTGCCGTCTCCCGGCGTCCTATGTAAAACTTGATCTGGCGGACCTGCTTGTGCGTTTGCTGGTACAGCGGTTCCACGTTGCCGGCCCAGCCGGGTCCGGCTCCGGCTTCCTCCGAACCTGATTCTGCTTCTTGAGTGTGTCCCTTATGTATGCGAGGAGTTGAAATCTGCAGTTTGTTGGGTTAGGCTGCGAAAACACAGGTGGTTCCTTGTGCCACTGGCACAGCGTGGGGGGGATGTAAATTGAGTGGGGAAGGGTCTCAGAGAATCACCAGAGCGGAGCAAACAGCAATGGTTGTTGTCAGCGTCTCCGTGACTCTGTGTCTCCGCATCCCCGAGCCCCGCGCTGGTGCAGCCACCGTGGAAGACAGTATGAGGTTCCTCAGCGCTTCTTTCTTTCCTTCCAGTTGTAGAACTTCCACTGGGCCGGCTTTCCCGTGGTTCTGGATGATAGCTGTTTGTCTTATAGTTGTAATTTCAGTGTTGTTGTGGGAGGCAGCACGCACAGGTCTGTACCTTACGTCGCCATCTTGGTTCTCCCACTCTCTACTTCTTATAAAATAAATAAATTTTTAGAAAAACTGAAATTCTGACCAATAAGCTGGGGGCCTGGGAGTGCTGTTCTGCCTGGGACTGGGCTTGGGCATGGCCCCCGAGCTGTAGCCGCTTAGCTGCTTGCATCCCCAAGCTGCAAGGCACCATGGGGAGGTGGAGTCGGGGCACTGTCCTCTGTGCACCCTGGCCAGGGCTGGCTGGCCTCCTCCACAGGACAGGCTGTCCTTGCCACAGGCTCAGGGCCAGGTTTAGGAGAGGGCAGAGCTGGGGCCTTGGCTCTCCTAGATGAGCCACCTGGCCTGGACCTGGGGCCCTGGGTCTCTGAGGCAGCCTCTGCAGGCACCCCGCCCCCCACACTTCTCCCCGCCTACGTGTGTGTACTAGGCAGGAGGCCCAGCGGAAATCAGTGTGTGGGCAGCTGTAGGAGGGAGTGATGAGCTGGTCCTAGCCACTGGCCAGATCCCCAGCTGCAGGAGAGGTGGCCAGGGCCTCAGCGGGTCAGCCGTCCTTCACTCTCTGCAGCTTGCCTTCGCTGCTCCTGGCTCCTCACAGGTGGCCCGTGGCAGGCCTGCCTGGGTGAGGGCGCACGATGCTGATGTCTGGGCCACTCTAGGTGAGCTGTCAGGCTCCGGCGCCCTCACCTGCCCCCTCTGCCCTGGCTTTGGCCTCTTTCCTGTCCCCCAGTGTCTTTGGTCTCCCCGCCCCCCACAAAGGCCATGTAATGGAAAAGCTTGTCATGGGGCGGAGACAGGAAGTCACTGGGTGGGGGCCAGGCCAAGGGTGGGCAGATAAAGGCAGGAGGCTTGTCCAAGGGGTGGCCAGGCACCAGGGACAGAGCACCGAGCTGGGGCCCAAAGGTCAGCAGGAGGGCTTCCCCCGAACCTGGTGAGTCTTTCCTCGCCCCATTGGGTCTCCAAGGCCCCCATTCATTCGCTCGCTGGCTCTTGTGCTGTGTGCGCTGGGAACCGGGAGGCTGCGGCAGGCCTAGCCCCTCCGGAGGTGCGACAGGGCCACAAGGCAGAGAAGACGCCATTCTGTCAAGCCAGGTTTCCCAGATGAGGACTGGGGCGAACAGAGTAGCCAGGCAGGTGTAGGTCATTCCTGGGTGGGCCCCCCTGAGTCCAGCTGGGGGCTGACCAGCTCCCAGAAAATACACACACACGTGCTGACACCACCAGACAAGCTCGTGCAGCAGCCGCATCCATCGACACGCACACATACGTGTCCTAGGAGGAGAGGGTGCAGCTGTCCCCCCCGCCCCTGCCCCCTGGAGGAGACAGCCTCCTCCCTCTTCTGGAGGGTCAGTGGGGGCCTGTCTCCTCCAGCTGGGTCCCCTCATCAGAAGCAGCTCAGGGAGACTGCCACAGGTTAGGAGACTCTTGGGCTCATTTCTTGCCAGGGGCCCCTGGAGTGATGGAAGTGGGTCACCTTCCAGTCATGGTGGAGGGTAATTGGGGGCCAATGGGAGGAGGGGCAATTCCTCTGGCACCTGGGAGCCTCCCAGGTCCCAAGGTCCAAAATTGTCCAGGGGACAGCACCCAACACAGCTATTGGACACGTCAGGAGAGTCCAGTTTGAGAAGACTCGGTGGTGCCCTCAGGGATGGATGAGCCCACCCCGGATACCCTCTGATGGACCGACTCGGGGTTGGGAGCCAGGTGGCCTTCGAGCTGCCTTTTTGAGCATCTGGGTCTCTCTCACCTGGAAGAGAGAGGAGAGCTGTGAGGATGGGGCTGCAGCCTGGACATATCCACAGAACCTGGGAGGGGACAGTTGGGCAGGAGGCAGACCTGGAGCCACTTCCTATACTGGTTCAGAAGCTACTGGTACACTCAAGGGGCGGATCCAGGAGGAGAAACCTGCCCGTGAGGGCTCTGCCAGCTGCCCCTGGGCAGTGCCTCCAGGACTGACCAACCTGAGAATGGTGTCTCCAGGTCAATCTCAGGTTCGTCAGCCCGTGAGGTGCTGCCCCTTCCCCGCAGTGGCTGCCAAAGGCACACATGGTTGTCACACCGAGTCAGGAATGTTGCACGTGCCCACAGGGTCTGGAGGGCTGGCAGGGCCTCATGGTGCCTCAGCTGGCACACCTGGAGGCAGGAAGCACTTCACTTGGATCTCTGGGCCCCGGGCCTGGTGCAGCCCCAAGGGCATCAGGGGAAGTCCTGGGAGAGGACCTTCTGCTCTGGTCCCTGGGCTAGACCTTAGGCTGGAAGCTGGGGGGGAGGGGGAGTGTTTAGGCTCTTCAAGGCCAAGCTGAGTGTTTGAGGGGAGCAGGGGGTAAGGGTGCACAGGGTTCAGAGGCGGGAGGTGGTGGGGCAGTGGATAGCAGGTGGATTTGGCTGTGCTTGGGTGAAAAGGGCAAGAATGGGGCAATTCCCACATGGGGTTTGTGGGACCAGGTCTGTGATGGGGCTGGAGGAGGAACTGGGCTGGAAGCAATGGCCACTTCAGGGGTGACACATCCACTGGGGCAAATGCTAGGCAGGTGGGCCTATTCCAGGTGCGGGTCCCTTGGCACATCTGCTCACCAATGGGCTTCCAGCTAGGGGCCAAGAATCATCAGGTGCCACGTGGCTGGATGTGGGCTAGCTGCAGCCCTGACCTTCCCTCAGTCTCCATGTACCCCAGTCCCAGTGGGCGTTGAGGGCGTGACTGTCAGCCACCAAGATGGCTGGGGGACAATGCATCTAGGGAAGAGGGGCCCTTGTCCCGGCGCTGGGGGCGGTGCCTCAGGCACACCCCAAGTTCTGGGGAATCAGCATCTAAACTGGGGTGCCCAGCAGGGTTTATCCCTCTGAAGCAGAGGCTCACGGCTACCCCCCTACCCCCCTCACCCCCAGACTGGAAGTGGGAGGCGCGGGGACAGTGAGCCAGGCAGCACCACCACCTCCAGGATGTGACCTCCGGTCGGTGTGACTGGCACTGGCCCTGCCATGTGCTTGCTCGCTGGCTGGGGCCCCGGGGCCCAGAGCTAGGGGAGAACTTCACACTTCGTGCCTGGGCGTCCCTCCAGACCTGGTGGCCCCCGCGTGTCCTGAGGATCCTCCCCGCGCCCTCTGGGGCTGGACGCTCTGGTTCCTCAGGTCCTGCAATGGTTATCGAGCAGAGGAAGTTCTCGTGTGGCCCTGGAGACCCAGGTCCCCAGGTCCCTGCCTGTCCTTGCCGCAGGAACCCACGTGTGTGACAGACTTGCAGGCCATTCCCTCCAGCTTCTGCATAAACCACTTCAAGCGGTCGTGCTGACTGGCACAGCCCACAGGGTCAGGCAGCGCACCTGACGCAGCAGGCCCCAGCGGTTTCGGAGCAGCCGGTCCAGGAGGTCCAAGCCCAGGGCGCCCCCGGGGTCCACTCACCTCTGGGTCAAGCCCCTCCAGCTGGGCGCTCGCCCCATCAGGTGGGTCCAGCTGCACACAGAGCCCTCTGCCAGGTCCCTAGGGTGGGGTGGGGGCATGGGGGGGCTCCCGACAGGCCCCGCCCTTCCATGTAGACCACACCCCCCACTAACACCTGCCTGCAGGGCTCGGGCTCCAGGCCACCTGGTCCCTGATTGTGCCCCTGGCAGGGACCCCTGCCGGCAGCGGGCCAGGAGGACACGGCCAGGACAGCGGAGGGCTGGGTTACTTTATGATGGTCATTGGAGTCCCATAGAGAAAATATTGAATATAATCATGGTTCTACCTAATTAGGATAATCGGCAGAGTAAACAAGCCCTGGCTGGTTTGGCTCAGTGGATAGAGCGTCGGCCTAGACTAAAGGCCCGGGTTCGATTTCGGTCAAGGGCACATGCCCAGGTTGCAGGTTTCATCCCGAGTAGGAGGCGTGCAGGAGGAGCTGATCAATCACTCTCTCTCATCACTGATTTCTGTCTGTCTCTCCCTCTCCCTTCCTCTCTGAAATCAGTAAAAAAATATATTAAGCCCTAGCTGGCTTGGCTCAATGGATAGAGCATCAGCCTGCGGACTGAAGGGTCCCAGGTTCGATTCCGGCCAAGGGCACATACTTGGGGTACGTGCTCGATCCCCAGTGGGGGGCGTGCAGGAGGCAGCCAATCAATGGTTCTCTCTCATCATTGATGTTTCTATCTCCCTCTCCCTTCCTGTCTAAAATCAATAAAATATATTTTAAAAAATATTTTAAAAAAAAGAGTAAACAGTAAGGAAAAACGTCTCAGAACACTAAGGCTGGCAGGGAGGCGGAAGGGGCCTGCAGACAGGGAAGGCGCCGGGTGGGCAGGCCCACTCCTCTTCGGTGAGAAACTAAAACCACCGCGTCCAAGAGCCCAGCCACCAGGCGCTGTGGTCAATTCAGCTGGTGGACACTGCTCAGCAGTCAGGCACAGCCCAGGATGCTTCTTGATGTGCCCTGACCGGGGAACGAATTCACAACTTTGTTGTATCAGGACTATGCTCTAACCAACTGAGCTACCCGGCCAGAGCCGATGCTGGTTTAATTTTTTCAGAATGTTTTTGCCTTGCCCTGAGCTAAGACCAAAGGCACAGAGGAAGACCCACCCCCCACCCCAGGAGACAGCTGCCGCCCACAACCCCTGGGCCTTCTGGCTTAGAGCGGCCTCTCCCATCTGCTGTGTGCAGAAGGGGACACACTCATGGAAGCAGAGCTGGCAACTCTTATCTCAGGGGCAAGGCCACAGGCACAAGGTGGTTTCAGTGCAGGGACAGCTCCCCCTGCCATCAGTGGTGGGAAAATGGGCCTTTCCTGGGAGGAAGACTGGGAGACCACCAACGTGGGGACAGATGACCCAGGGGGGACTGTGGTGTCCAGGAGTGAGGACCCAAGTTTTCGCCACAGGGATGTCCCGGTGGGGCAGGCAGCCGCTCATGCAGCTGGGTGGTCAACTAATGGGCGTGGAAGGAGTGGAGCTGCTGTCTCCAGGGGCGACGACAGTGCGGGCGCCCCTGGCCTGCCGGCACACGCCCTCAGAGGGCTGTAGAGCGCAGTCCCAGCTGCCCTGGGCCCAGCGCTCTCAGGGCTCCCATCTCTTTTTCACTCCAGTCTCAGCATTTAGAAAGTGGAGGGGAAGGACATCAGAGCCACCTGTGAAGCAGGCAGGTGGGCGTGGCTTCCCCGCCCCCAGGGGACTGAGGAGGGACCCCCAAGGTTGGCTGGCCCTAGGCCAAGACCCCCCAACAGGGACAACTAAATAAGACATGCCTGGTCTGCAGTGAAAACATTTATTTTACAACAGTTATCTTTATTCTAGGTCAACATTCAGACATACAAGATGGAGGTCACTGTGGGGAAACATCCTAGCCCTCTGCCTGGCCCTGGGTGTGCCCGTGGGGTCAGGGCCTGAGGCGCCCCAGCTCCACCAGGCTCCACTCACAGGACAAAGCCAGTGCGGACAATGCTTCCCATGCATTGCACTTCAGTTTTAAAAAACAACGTCAACATATTTCAGTGCAAACTGCCTCCCCTCACTTAGCGTGAAACATGAGTCCATTTTCCAGGGAAACAAAATCGAAGGTGTGCCTAGGACCAGGCCACCCCTCTTGGAGCGGGGGCAGCACGGCCCTGCTCCTCCCCGCGACCCCCGACCCAATTTGTGGTCCCAACAGAGACTGTTTAGAATGCAGTTGGTCACTGATTGTATCTGATGCTTAGAAAATTGGTTTTAAATGTTCCGAAGTGGAATGGGTTTCTACCACCTCCCAGATGTCACACAGGGACAATCACCTGTGGTTCAGGTGACCATGACGGGCACCCTACCCCGGGTAAGCTGACACTGCAGTGGGCTCAGGCGCCCGCCCAGCCATCCACCCAAACTCTAGGTACACGGCGGCATCAGTGCTGTTTCCTGAGCAGCCAGCAGAAGAGCTCTCAGGACCCCCTCCTGCCCGGACTCGTCAAGAAACAGGCTGTGTTGGAGCCAACTTTTATTGTACTTGCTGCGTTGTCACTGGACAGCGGCAGCCAGTCCTGCTGCGCGATATATACATATACACATATGTACACACACGGAGATGCACCACCGCCCACACCTGCAGCACAGACTAACCGTGCCTGTCAGGACTGCAAAGATGCAGCTTTGGCCAATTCCACAGGCGGAAGGTTCGCAACCAAACTAACAAAGCAAGCAGGTGAGTCCTGGTCGCAGGGGGTCACAGCTGAGAACGTGAGGAAGGAATGCGGTCAGCCCCTGCCTCACGCCCATCCCCACTGCCCCTGGGAGATGCACCAAGATGACAGCCAGAAGGGACAGACAGGCCCCGCCCCGCCCCACCCGAGCCCGGTGGCTGGCAGCACCGTGTGGGCTCCTCAGGCACAGACCGCCCCCTAGAACATCGAGGATGAAGACACCGCCTGCTCTAACCACAGCCGCTCTGACCTCTTCCTCTGCCAGGTCCCAGCGGTGCGGCTGCACTGACGGACGGGACAGTGGGGGGGAGGCTCACCCACACGTGGAAATGTCTAAAGCAGTTTGAAACGAGAACAGAGCCAAAAGGAAGACAAGGCGAGACCCATCACTGAGCAGAGCAGAAGCCTACACACCAGCAGCTGCCATCAGACATGCTTCCTGAGGGCGTCCACCGCACTGGCTGCCCGTCAGGCCAGCCCTGCCTTGGCCAGTCGGATGGGCTTCCTCTGACACAGACCCCAACACCCCCGGGCCACACACACTACCTGCCGTCGGACACCAGCACTGGCCACACCTGGCCCAGCTCTGGAAGGCACACGGTTGCCCCCCACTTAGCATTCGAACCAGTGCCTCTCCAGGCGCAAGAACTCTGCTCACCAAAAACGGACCAGGCAGAAGAGGGAAATGCACCGGGGCCTTCGTCTTGAAAGCGACCACCGAACACTCGAAGGGGCCTGCCCTCAGGGCCGCCGCGGTCTGCAGCACCATCACCGCGGTCTCGTTTTAGGGATGCTGAGGCCTGCCCCGAAGAGCAACACAACGCGGCGGCCGCCGGCAGACACCTGGCGGGGACGCCGTGACACACATGGAGGGCCTGGCTGGGTGGAGATTTAAACTGGGTTCCTGGTCATTCTGGGGAAAGCAACTCATTTCCTAAACCACTTCCAGAAGCGTCCCAAGGCGGCCAGGAGCTCAGGCTGAATCCTGGGCTGCGGAGCCGGGTCGGCACAGGAGAGGGCCGGCTCTCGCCTCCGCCCTCGCTCCCCGGTGGGTCAAACAATGCATTTCTCATCCTTTTAGGAGAGGCCTGGTTTTAGCAAATTAGTTCTGACTCAACATCACAGTGCAGGGCTATCCTCTCACTGAACATCTTCATGATCACGACAATGAACAAAAAACCACAATGGGACCAAGCAGCTGCCCAGGTCCCAGGCTGGCCTGCAGGAGGGCCAGCGGGAGGGGCCCTAGGACTGAGGGTTCTGCGAGTGGCCAGGCCCCCACACACAGCTCTAGCTAGCACAGCCTGGTGGGCAGCAAGGGCCACAGGGGAGAACAGTGGCTTCAGGAACATGTCTGGTTCGGCCCAGCCAGGGAACCATGCCGCCCAGCCTTCCCGAGCTTGTCCCTCACTCTCCCGGGACACACAGGAGCAGCGAGAACATTCATTCTGCAGACACCGGCCCATGCGGGGCCCTTGAGCCTCCAGAAGCTGGGTGTAGGGCCAGTAGGGAATCTGCTATTTGGTACAACGTAACTCACACCTCCTCAGTCCCCCGAAGCAGGGGCGCCACCCACCAGGCCTGGGACAGAAGGAAGGACAGACTTCCAGCAGTTCACAAAAGGCTCTGCCCGCCACAGCAGTGAGATCCTGGTCTGGCTGCTGGCTAACAAGCCAAGGGCGCCAGGCTCCCCGGGCCCACGGCTCCCAGGCCGAGTGTGCCTTTGATCCAGCGGGTCCTTCCCCAGGACCCTGATGCCTCTGCCTCTGGCTGAGGAGCAGCTGAAGGAAGAGGGTGGGCAGGGGCTGGGGAAGCAGAGAGGAGGCTGGGCAGCCAGGCGCCACCGGCAGCCTGGACTCAGCCTGACTGACTGTCTGGGCCGCAGCTGCCACGGTGGTGCTTCCACATCCAAGATGGTTACAGAGAGGCCTGGCTTCAGCAAATTAGTTCTAACTCAACCTGGAGGAATGTGGAGGCTGACACAGAGAAGGGAGAGGGGAGACGCTGGTTGTGGCTATCGACCCAGCTCGTGGCACAGGGGACTCGGGCTAGACCCAGGCCAGGAGGAGGCCTCACATCAGAAGCTCCCGGTCCCCACAACACACTCACCCTCGGAAAAGCCCCGCCACAAGGCCATGCACACAAGGTGAGCAGCAGCTGCACTAAGTGTCCTTGCCACCAACACCCGGGACGTCACAGTGCGGAGAGGCCCTGCCTGCGGCCCCTCCTGGACCAGACCCACAGCTCTGCAGGCAGTACCCGCGGTGCCGGAGCACAGAGCGGGCGGCCCCTCCCACCTGCTGGGGACACACCGCGTGGCAGCTCACGGCAGCGACCTGACAGCCCGGCGGTGCCCAACAGTTCATGATTCTCAGGTCGAAGTGGCCGGGTGCTGATTGATCCGCACATCACAGCTTCTCCTGAACTTAATTGAACCCGTCGGTGTGGTAGCTGGGGTGGGACTCGGCTGTGAGCTGAGTGGTCTCTGTGGCGGACGCTGGCTGTATGACAATCGGTGTGTCTGTGGCCTCTGAAAAGTAATCACACGCATGTTCATCGCATGAGGACGGCGGCCTTCCGAGTGCACCGTGTGCCCTGTCAACACGTCCTCCTGTGACAATGCTCCGTTGCTCTGCTGGGGCACAGGTGGCAGGACAAGCACTCGGAGGGAGAGGCTGTTCACGGACCTCCCCCCCAACCTGACCACCTCGTCGCCTTAGGCCGCCGCGGGCCCAAGGCCGCCCCACCTCCTTGGTCCCCAGGCACTACAGCTAGCGCAGCTGGCGGGCAGGGACAGCCCCTCGTCTGCTTTACCTCCGAGTCCACGTTCAACCTCAACGGGCCCAGCTGCCACACACATCCTGGCCCCATGTCAGTGCCCTCCTGTTTGACAAGACAGGTGGACACGGGTGAGGGCCCATTCTGGCGCCCCCCCACGCACGCAGGCGGGCCCTGGCGGCACTCACCCCGCTCGTCCGACTGCAGCTGCGCCTCCAGGTCCTCGGGGGACACGTAGAACTCGGTCTCCTCGCCCTCGGGCGCCTTGGGCTTGCACTTCCCGCAGCAGCAGTTGAAGCAGCAGCACAGGCAGCAGCAGCAGTAGCAGCAGGTGAGGAGCCCGCAGAAGACAAACAGGGCCTGGGGAGGAGGTGGGCGCTGGCTGAGGTGGCTCCAGACCGGGGACTCCCCAATGGGGCACCCCCACACACCCGCTGCTGCCCTATGAGAGCGACAGACAGACAGGCGGGCGCTCCTATTCTCCTCCAGATCGAGGAGTGTAAGAAAGGACCAACATGGGAGTCAGGAGAGACAGAGCGTCCAGGTGCATACAGAGGAACTATCCACAGAGGGGCTGCGAGCAGCCCTGGCAGCAGCGATGTGGGCTGCCCACAGCTCAGCACCCTGTGTCCTCACACGTGACAGGGCTTAGAGAGAGTAAAGGAGAGTGTTGAGAAACGTTCAGTTGAAAGGCACACAACTGCCCACACTCACACGGGATGAGCGGGGTACAGCCACCCACCAATCATCACTGTCAGGAGTGCAGAGTGCACCATCACGCAGGGACCAGAGAGTCCGACACCCGCCGCCCCGTCAGCTCCATGCCCTCACCTTTGCCCACCAACTGGACAGCACGAAGTAGGTGTTGACGTTCTCCTCCCCAAACTGCTCAGCCACGTAGAGCCCCAGCGAGCCGTACTTGTCGTAGATGTTCCTCTTTGTGGCGTCCGTGAGGATGGTACGTGCGTTGTTGATCTCCTTGAACTTGTCCGCAGCCTCTGGGTTGTCAGGGTTCTTGTCCGGGTGATATTTCAGGGCCAGTTTCCTGAAAACCAAAACCATTGCTTGGTCTCATGTTTCCTGTTCACCCACTGGATGGAGGTGCCAGTGGAAGGAACATTTGCCGTGACCATCTCACTTTCCTCCTCTCCATAGAAGTGGGAAGGTGTGGGTCAAAAGAAATCTCTGCCATCGTTTCCAACTTTCCACAGCGCAAAGGCAATCCCTACCCTGACCTCTAGTGTCCGAGCAGCTAACTGCACACTTCCTGCACGAAGCAACAGGCAGGGGGTCTGATAAGGCACTTTGCTGTGTGTTCGGTCATCACAGCTTTACCAATGACACCGCACCTAAGGGCCCATTCAGGTTCAGCCTGGAGGTTACAACAGGCAAGCAGACTGTCACCACCGCGTGGCACCAAGTCCCTCTCCCAGTGGCCAACAGCCCCGCTCAGCACATTGGAGCGGCTTGCTGCAGGACTGCCTACTCCAGCGTGGACAGTCCGGAAACGCTAATGTGCCCACTTTAAGGTACAAGGGATACACTGTACATACAAAGATGTTAAATACTAAGTCAGCCAAGAAAAAATTAAAAAAAATATATATATGGTCGTTCTTGGTTGGTGCCAATCACACGCATGAGGCGTGGCTCTTACCGGTAGGACTTTTTAATGTCGTCTGAGGTTGCGTTCTTGTCCAGCCCCAGAACATGGTACAGCGATTCCCCAGAGGTAGAGAGTGAGCGCTGTCGCTGGTCGGCCATGGTAGATTAGTCTACAAGAAAAATTCAAAGAAAACTCAAAAAGTATGAAGTGTGCAGACACGGCACTCAACCGCAGCCCAGCAGTTTTCACTTGTATGTGCGGAGGGCTGTAACGCCACCGGCCTAAGTTGAGTTTCAAAATTAAGTGGATTTATTATAACACCTAGAGCAGAGAGTATGTACAGCTAAAAGAAAAATGAAGAGATTGTCAAAATAAAAATGCAAGACCCACTCACTATGCTGTCCACAGAGACAAACCACAAAGGCAGGTCCTCTGAATACCTGGGACAGAAAGAACGGGAGAAACAGGGAGCCCACAGCTACAAAACCTTAACGCTTATACCCTTTCTCCGAAATGACGGACAACAGGAGATAAGCCACCCCGGTACTGAGGCCTGAAGAACACCATCTTAGTTGTAATTCCGGTTTGGTGACCTCCTGGTTCATGGGTCGACATTAAACCACTGAGCCACGCCAGCTACATTCAACCACAGAGCCACGCCAGCTGGGACAGAACATTCACCTTTTAAAAATCACAACATGGAGAACCCAGATGGCGGCATAAGGTATAGACCTGTGCGTGCTGCCTCCCACAACAACACTGAAATTACAACTATAAGACAAACAGCTATCATCCAGAACCACGGGAAAGCCGGCCCAGTGGAAGTTCTACAACTGGAAGGAAAGAAAGAAGCGCATTGAGACCGAGTAGGAGGAGCAGAGGCGCCAAGAACAGAGGTACAGAGTCGCACCTGAGGGGGGCTGCACCTGGATGCGCGGTTTTTTTCAATCGGAAGGGGAGACAAGCTCTTGAACGCACTGAGCTTGTTTGGGGCGGGATTCGGAGGTCCCAG